ATGTACAACCTGTTGCCATCAACATCATCATCAACTTCATCATCTCATCAAGAGATAATCATCCTTATTGCTATTATGTTATGAGCACACAGTGACTGCACTAGCCAAACACTTTAGATCCATTGCCCCTTTGCTCAGGATAGTGGTGAAGAGTGAGTTCTCTAAAATAGACATCTTGGGTTCAAATGCTAGTTCTGATTCTTAACAGAGTGAGGGTGGCATTGGGCTTAGTCCTGGCCCAGTATTGCAAAGGAAGTAAATGATGGTAGCCTGGACTAAACTTAGGCCTGTTGGTCCACAAAATTCATGTTATCTTGCCTCCCAGAGGCTGAGCATGACTTTAAACAGAGTCCTTGAGGAAAAAAATCCAGCATCTCCAGGGAGCACTGTACAGACTCGTGGATGACCTTGAATTAGCCTGAAAAGTCAAAGTAGTATTTAGATCATGTATTGTAAAAAGAATTTTACGATATTGTCCATAGGTAAAAAGAAAGAAATTGGACCTACGGACATTTTTTTGGATCTCGGTGGGCATGGGGAAAACCATTCCTAAGCTTTCTTGCCAAGTAGAACATTACTGCCTGGAAGTCAAACCACTTCTTCACATGGTCACAGGCCTAAATGAGCCCTCTACTCCCTCCAGGACCTGCCTGTCAATTCCCTCCACAAGCCTTCCCCTTCATCTTCTTCTACTGACACTCTTCCGAAGATCACTCAGATAAAATCAAACATGATTGGCTGTTATAGAATGACTATAGCCTATAGAAAGCTTCATACTCTATATAATGGGAGTATATAATTACAATTATCGATTAATTAATAGTGTGTCAATTTGTGGCCACTTTCTGAAAATGTCCCAGCACAAATGCCATAAGATTCTTCTGTGATACAATTCAGGTAAAAAGTCCCTTCTTCCTATGTTTGTGTGCAGGCATGTGTGTGTTTGTGTGTGAGTGTGTGGGGGGGGTGTAGTTGTTATTGATGGTATTTTTTTTCCAACTTCTTGAGTTGAATGTTTGGCTCATGTATTTTCAGTCTTGGGTTCTGATAAATCTACTTAAAGCTATAAATTGTTCTCCAAATACTACTTTAGCCACGTTAAAGAAAGTTCTGTAGAACCATGGCTTGAAACAGAATTCTGAATGCACAGAAATTGTTGGGTTGTGCTCAAGGGAGGCAAAGAAGCAGGGGAGAGATGGTGAAGAGGCTGAGCATGGCTATGGTCTTGAGTGAGGTTAAGATTAGCCTGAGGGAGGTGGAGACTCTGAGAGGTAAGTTGCTCCTTAGAAATGGAGTTAGCCATTCACTGGCTATAGGCTGCTCAGAGAAGGATGGATCTCACTCTGGCAAGAAGATGATAGCTCTGAGCCATTGGCAGCCAACACTCAGCAGCCAAAGAGCAGGTGTCCTCACTCCTGACCTAGCAAAGGGGATGTGGACTGGGACCCAGCCTTAGCCCCCCCACACAGCGGAAATGTGGATGACTGAAGTACCCTCTGTAGCAGGACACCAGTACCTTAGTGCTGACACTGGAATTGCTGGTTTACGGTGATAATAAAAAAGAAAACCACTTTTAGACGGTATTCTGACCATAAATTCTCTGCAGTCAATGCACCCTCTTATTGCATGCATGCCACTGCTGGTACACTGATGGACACAGGGCTTCTGAATGAGGGAGAAGCCAAGGAGCCCTTTGCAGAATAACCAGGAGGTGTCCCATGGGCTTCATGCTCTCACGACTTGGCTTTGTCCGTCACTCAACAGAAACACCCTGGGACTCATCTCGAACCTCACTCACAAGGGAGGTTCGAGGTCTTGTTCTCAAAGTATCTCTCCATCTTCACCCTCTAATTTCTCCTTCAATAAGAGAACAGAGCTTCTATCTAAAGGAAGCACAATTCAAACCCCACCCAATCTGAGTATGCTTCACTCGTACTTAGCAAAACTGTAACACCAAATACCTCCATTTCCAATCCTGGAAGAAATGGCAATTGAGAGAGTGACAATCTGATCTCAATATTCAGTGAGTTCAAAAATAATGCTTAAATAGCTCCAGGATGACCTTGATGTGAAGACACAGAAACTTGTACAGTACATTCTCACAGATGTCTCCCTAGGACAGGCGATCCCTTCATTTCAAAAAAGAAGATTCTGACGTCCTGGTGGTGCTGCTTTCCCTGCTGATACATTGCAGAGCAACTGACTGCAAGTCAAACTGTGGCTACATTTTTTATTAAAAAGAGGATTCCTAGGAGGCAAGATAGCTAAGGCTGCTTCTTACACAGTACCAAGGTGCTCCTTTTTAGCAGACATTAATTCAGAGACACAGGGATGCAAGAACGTCACTCTTGCGTGGTTGAAGGGACCCAGAGCTGTGACAGAGCAGAAATCATAAAAGAGAATGCAGAAACCATATGTTTGAAAGCAGTGGCGCTTTATATAAAAAGACACTAGGATCTCCTTTCAACAAAAGCTATATCTGTCACAAACTACTTTTTTACTGAAAACAGCTTCTTTTCCATCGTCCAAGAGAAATTATTATCTAAAAGGAAAAGGATCTAATATTTTATTGCATTATTTTCCCCCACAAACACTGACACAAAAGACAACTTTGTCACTAAAGCTTTACAATTCTATTACTTGAACTTGGACCGTCTTACCATAAAAGTTTACCTACTCTTCCAAAAATTAGGGTCTAGAAGGGAAAATTACATCATTTCTTCTTACAAAAATGGCTTTCTCATTTTTTAATCAACAAGCACAAGCCATCTCCTCTTGTTGGTGTGTTATTTCCTGAAATTGTATATGATGGGTTTAGAAAAGTTTGAAAGGAGAGTTTTGAAGTTTGCTAAATGCCCACCATCTCCATAACCACTCAAATCAGGCTATTTTTTATAATTCCTTTAAATTGAATATCTTTGATAATAAATGCAAATTAAGGAGCAATAAATTATAACTTCTAGCCTGACCAGTGACTAATTATATATATTATAATTAACTATAGTTTCCAACACAAGGTATTTATCTTAATAATCATCCCATATCCATTAGCATATCTTAAAGGGTTTTTGTAAAACAGCTTTCACCATCTGAAGAGCCATCTGAAGTTCCCCCTTTGGGCTATGAAAGGGTGCAGATTCAAAAGAGATGGAATTACTTTAAAAAGAAGTCTTGGCTAAATATAAGTTGAGAGATTCAGATTATAGGCATAAAACCCCGACTTAAAAATATTTATCTTAAATACACCCTGTGACCATCACTAAAGAGCCTTTAGGTTCTAAAAATCTACAATTTCCATGAATCTGCTCAAAATATTTTTAGCCCTCCGAGCCTCTTGTGAATGCATCAATCAAAACTTGGGTTTAGGATTTGAACTTCACCAAGGGAAGCTATCGGATTTTTCAGGAAGTCTCTGATCTTGCTCTATAAAAATCAATAAGGGGAGCCAACTTTTGGTGGTGGCAGGAATGAAATAGCTCCCACTGACTTCATTCTCATCCTTGCTTTACTAGTTGATTTAGAAACTTAAGTATCTTCCTGATGCATAGTTAGTAGGTGGTCACAGGAATAAAATGTCTCCCTCTGACGTTATTCTCATCTTTGCTTTTAGAAACGTAAGTACTTCCCTGACCCACAGTTAGTTGAGCTCCTAGAATGATAAGGAAGGGAAAGCCCACAGGCTTCTTGAGACCCAGTTATCTGCCAGCTTGTTGTAAAATTGAAAGTTTTGCTTTTTAGATGTGCTATAGAGTTCAGGGGTACATCTAAAAACACATGAAAATGACCCCTAGGTTCTCCCCCTTCTCTGCCAGCAGCACTAGCCTTTCTTAGAAACAATCAGAGCCTCCTCTGAGGGTTTTTCCCCCGTTCTCAGGAATCTCTGGGTGAACGATTAAGCCTTCTGATACAGCTGGTAATCCAGCTCTGGCCAGTATCACTGCATTTTCCAACTGTCCCCGGGTAATTGTCCCAGGGACTTAAACAAGTTGGACCAAAGGCACCAGGAAGGTCAAACTGCAATAGAGTGTTCCCTGATTTTATCCGGGAGATTGATGCGCAAATCACCTTGATTTCGATTTGGCACCAGTGTTATAAAATGCACTTGCAATCACCGATAACATGTAAGATTAGGCCCCAGCATGGGACACTGTATTTTATGCCCTTCATGGAGTTTTCCCTAATGCAACCATAAATCAGCCCACAAAGCAGGGCGTTTTGTCCATGTTAATAAAGAGGACAGTGAGAAACCCAGGGTGCCTTGGGATGGAGACATTTCTGGAACTTGGAACGAGCCTGAAATCTTTAGCTTGTATCAGGGCCACCCGGATGCAGCCTTCAGGGGACAGACCACAGTGGGGGCTTTTGGGGAAGTCACAAAAGAACAGTGACAACAGGATCACCCAGCAAAAAGGGCATGAGGATGGCCACATGGGTGCAAACATTTCCATTTCTGAGCATTTAAGCAGAGATTCAAAATCTTGAGATAGGAGAAAAAGTACAAAATAGAAAGCGAAGTTGTTCTAATACACATATTTCAATTTGGAAAAGAGAGTAACATAGTAAGAAGAGTGGGGGAAAAAAGCAATTAAATCAGAAAACCACAGTTTGCAAAATAACTTTTGGTGGTAGCTACAATATGTCTTCTATGTCTTTCCTGCCTGGCCCCACCAAAGGTTCACATTAAATTATTATTATTATTATTTGGCCAGGCATGGTGACTCAAGCTTGTAATTCCAGCACTTAGGGAGGCCGAGGTGGGCGGATCACCCGAGGCTGGAGTTTGAGACCAGCCTGCTCAACGTGGTGAAACCTGGTCTCTACTAAAAATACAAAACAATTAGCTGAGCATGGTAATGGGCGCCTGTAATCCCAGCTACTTGGGAAGCTGAGGCACGAGAATTGCTTGAATCTGGGAGGCAGAGGTTGCAGTGAACTGAGATTGTACCACTGCACTCAAACCTGGGTGACAGAGAGTCTGTCTCAATAATAGTAATAATAATTATTATTAAGAAAACGGGTACTTTTTTTTTTTTAATTCACAGAACCCATCACCGTAGTTTTATGTAACAATTTCATGAGGTGTCCAGAGTGTCAGATTTCACTGGTACAGAAAGGTTTAACAACTCAATATACGGGGAAAAAGAATGTCTGGCACCTCAAGGCCCATCTTCCCCTTGGTGTGGTGGCTTAAGCCTAGCCCAAATTCTGCTTATGGAAACTGCTCTGCTCTTCTCCCTACTTCTTTTCCCTCTCAGCAACACCACCCCATGCACCTATGGGAGTCTAAACCAATAGGCATCTGGCCTTGCTCTGTGGAGCTGGGGCATAGATGAGCAAGGTCCAATATGGCTGGTGTGGATCTACAAAAGAAGAGGGGAAAATCTAGGCTGGAAAAAAACAGAGAGAGAAGTAATTATTGGCATTCTCCCCAACAAAACACCCACCCCCTCCCCCACAAACACACACATTTTTATTCTTCTAGAGCTTCAAGACTTCTTCTTTAATCTAAAGCAAGTAAGAAAATGTCTAATAAAAATGATTCCCCTGTTGGGGACTACGCATATAGCCCTTTCTCCCAAGTAAAACAGAAACCAACAAGCTGAAAGTGCAAGAAAAATTTATTCCACTTAACGCAACTGAACTTCCCTTCAATTTAAACAAAAACTCATTACAATCAAACACACATTTGAGTCTTTTATAAAGTTTCACATTTGTATTTTCTAACGTCATTTAAGAATGGGCATGATTTAGGTCTCAAATTGAAGAAACTAGAGAAACTCAGCCCTGACACTTGCAAATAACTGGCAGCATTGGCAAAGCAGGAAGCATGCTTCTTAGCAGACGCCCATGCCATGCTTTTTCTTTTAATCAGAGTGGAAAAAGCACACACCACTTCTTCTTCTTTTTTCTTTTCTAAGAGACGATATCTCATTCTGTCATCCAGGCTGGTATGCAGTGGTGCAATCATAGCTCACTGCAGCCTCCAATTCCTGGGTTCAAGCGATCCTCCCACCTCAGACCACTTCTTTTTTGAACTATCCATTCTCTAATGACACCTTATCAAGCTAGGAAAACAAGTTACAGAAGAAAGATTTGCATTGAGCTTAGAAAGGAGGAGAAAAGGGACCTTCCTTTGCATTTTAAAAGCTCAGGGTCTTGAGGGTAAATTTGTGTTCTGATATCTGACTTCATTGTATCCAAATAAAACTCTCCAACACTTTTAGGCAGTTTACAACAAAAACACAAAATGAAAAGATAAGAATAAAAGCAAGCTCCCTACTACCCTCTGCCCAAGGTCAGAATGTCAATTTGAAGTAACAAAAAAAGAGAAACAAAGTAGCAATCACATCCTCCTTAAAAAAAAAAAAAAAAAAAAAGGAGGCTAGGCTCCATGATGAACGAGATGAGAAACCCAAACTCCTGCACTGAGCATTGGTCTGCTCGCTGTCCAGCGCAAGGTGAAAGGCTTTGGAGAATCTGCCCACCTGTGGGCAGAGCAAACCATGCCCAAACCCAGGAAGAATCTTCTCACTGAGGGGATCCCACTGACCCGGCTGAGTGGGTACACAGAGGAATCTTCTTTCTGCTTCCAGGCAAGAGGGAGCTTTCTGGTTGTTGCTGGCAGTAGAAAGGGGGCAGATAGAGAGGATGTGGGGGAGCAGACACAGATTGAGAAGTCCCGGCTTGTCCAGTACCAGGCGCTGGGCTCTCTCTCCTGCCCTGGACCTCCCAGGAACCTGTGAAGCTATGTGAAAGCCAAGGGCCAGGAGGCTGGGCTCCATGTAAAATGTGCCACCCAGAGCTAGGGAACGGGGGTTCACATGCTTCAAGGCAGTGGGCGGAGGGCAGGAGGCAGAGGGCATGTGTGAGACAGCTGCCCCAGGAGACCCCCTCCCAGGCAGGATACATTGCCTCACCTTGTCTTCACCAACTTCTCCCCATGGGATATCAGAGGGGCCAAGAGTCAGGAGACCTGAACTAACCTGGGCTGGTCACTGCTATAGTGAATCCTGGATGCTGTGAGAGTTAACCTGACAGAGCCTCAGTTTCCTCACTGGGGAAAGGCAGTGCTGGTGGCTGACCTGGGCACCTGGGAGGCTCGGGCACCTGCAAGTTTTGGGACAGGGAGGGACACCTCCTGGCCAGCAGCCCCATGAGGAAGGGTAGAAATCCCTACTGTGACTGCTACTGAGATTAGACTGGCTAACTGAGATAATGCGGGCTAAACACACACACAGACACACACACAAACACACACACACACGCGCACGCACACACACACACACACACACACACACACAGTCTAGTGGTCCGGCACATAATAAAGCCCAGATTTAACACAAGTTTGTTTGCATATTTACTCATTTTCCAAAAGACTACCCTTTAAAAACAGAGACTCAGCATACCTGAGTGTTACAAAACCTTCCACCTCTGAGGGTCTTTCCAATACCTTCCATAGCCACTCATGTTCAACGACCCCCATCGATGCCTGTCCGGTGCTTGTGACGGCTCCCACATCACATCGGGGGGAAGGAAAGCCAAGAAAACATGCACCAGATTTAATAATCCCTTCTGGGGGCGAGACCTCAAAATGGCAAGGGTTGAAGGGTCAGAGAAAAGAAAAATTTTAAAGATGGCTTTTAAAAGCAATAAGGTTATATGGGAGGTTGGGTTATGTCTGGGAAACCTCTGTACCTTCCTTTCAATTTTGCTGTGAACCTAAAAGTGCTCTCTAAAGTCAAGTCTTTTTTAGAAAAAACAGTAAGTGGTAACTTGATAGAGCTCATGAACAGCCAGTGGGTTTGTGGCTTGCCCTACAAGTCCAGGTAACCCCATCACAATGGATTCCAAAAGTGCTGTATCAAAAAACCACAGAGCGTGGGTCACAGTGGTTCACCCCTATAATCCCAGCACTTGGGGAGGGAGGCCAAGGTGGGAAGATCTCTCAAGCCCAGGAGTTTGAAACCAGACTGGGCAACATAGTGGGACCCTGTCCCTAAAATTTATTATTTTTTTAATAAGAAAAGAAATTAGCCAGGCTTTGGTTGGCGGTGGCGGGGGGGTGCCTATAATCCCAGCTACTCACTATCAAGGCAGGATGATCCCTTATTCCCTGGGGGTTCTATGCTGCAGTGAGCCGTGATTGTTCCATTCTACTCTAGTCTGGGTGACAGAGTAAGACTCTGTCTCTTAAAAAAAAAAAAAAAAAGAAAATTAAAAAAACCCTGCCGGAGCAGTGAACCTGAAAAACAGCATTTGATCCAGGGATAATGAAGGCCCTGGTAATGTTAAATACTATTTCTAGCCTAATAGACTACACACAATGTAAAAATCTGCATTGTTTTAATATCTGAACGTAACTAAGTTAGTAAATTAGACATTGTAAGCAGACATCAGAACGTTTCTGCCTTGCCTCCAAGAGTTAAAGGACTGATGTGGGCAAGGACTTGGGGAATGTAAAGAGCTAATAGACGTCTGGCGCTTACTCCCTCTGTCTTGTCCAGGAAAGCAGACCCGCTCTGAGGGACAGGACAGGAAGGCTGAGCGCAGCACACGTGTCTCTTTCCATGTTCGCATACTTTATCTGCATCTGTTCAGAGCGCGTGTGTGTGTGTGCGTGCGTGTGTGCGTGCGTGTGTGTGTGTGTGTCTTGTTCTTGCTGTCTCTTCTCTCTGGCATTGTCCCACTCCCTCCGTCTCCCTCTGTCCACATGACTCCCCAACCCCCACAGACACCATTCTTGATAATTATAGTTTATTGATTCTCCTGGTGTTGGATGCCACCGGCGCTGTCTTCCTTATGTTAGCTGGGGCATCCTCCCAGCTCCATCACAGCCTGCATCTCAGGAGGAAAAGCACTCCCAGCACTAATCTGGAGAAAGATGTTGCCTTGACCAAGGTCCCGGGAGTCCCTCTGGGAGGTGAGCCTGAATCCCTTCCCCCCACCAGGACCCCAGCCCACCACCCCCTGAAAGCTGAGGCTGAGCCCAGCGGGCAACTAAAATAATAGCCATAGAAATAAACATGTATTGTCACTTACCACATGCCAGGCAAGTTCGCAGGCACAGTCTGCACATCCTCCCAAATCCCTGGGAGAAGGGGCTACTACTCATCACTGTGAATGAGAATCAGGGAGGTGCAGGGCTCCCCTGAAGTCACACAGCTGCTGCGTGCTGCAGCTAGGATCTGACCCCCAAGCTTGCACACACAGATCTGCAACTGTCGCCTGAAAGGAAAGAGCAAGACCTCTGAGGTGAGGACCAAGCAGATGGTGCGGGGTGAAGGAAAACTCCCCAACATGTTGGCTTTTAAAAAATGCACTCTGAGATGAGCATGACTGGCAAGTTCCCTGCCCATTGCCACCCAGAAAGAGAGGGTCCCCGGCCAGCCTGAACCAGTGCCCCAGCTGCGGAGGGAGACAGCCTGGCTCCCAAGCTGTTTACTTCTCAGCCATAAACAGGAAGGCCATAAAAGGGGCCCCTTTTGGTCAACCACTCAGGGGCTTCTCTCTCCTCCTCCTCTTCCTTTTCCTCCTCCCAAGTACGTGTCCCTAGGCAGAGAGAGTGTTTCCTTGAGGCTGCTACCTCCCAAATGTCATTGTCCCTTTGCCTTAAAGAACATCCTTTGAGCTGGAAATTCCAACTGCTGAAGTCATGACTGAGTTGACGAAAAGGTAGATGCTTGTGTCTGGCCCAGAGAGCTCAAGGACATGTAGGGTACAGTGCCAGGCATACGATGGCCTCTCTGATCTCCATTGGCCACCTACTTTTTAAAACTAATGAATAACTAGAAATGCCTCCTTTTCTGAAAAGAGAAAACCGCAATTCTAAAAGAAATCTAGAGAGAAAGTGACCCAGATATTCAGAGGTGAGACGTCCCAAAGGAAAGATTAGATAGCACATCTCAAAGAAAGTTCTCTACCACATTTTTTCCCAAAGGCTTCTGCAAAAAAAGAAAAGATAGAGGGATTCCACAACCAAGCAGGGTTGCCCTCTTAGAGACACACACACCATGCATGTGGCTTTTTAAAGGTTCTGATAAGTCCTGCAGCAAAGGACCTTGTTTCATTGCATGAGTTTTCCAGATGTTTTGCCCACAAGATTCTATTTCCACAAATGGTTCCTTTATTCTTATGACATTTCAAGTCTCATTTGATGCTTTGGGAACCTCTGGATGAATGCATGAGGTCTTGTGCTGAACGTTCACTGGTGTCATCCGAACTTGACTTTCCTTTTCAGTTTTCATGTTAGGGCCTCTTGGACATAACCTTTACCATTTCCTGTCTCCACTCCCCAAGAATGAGATGAGTCTCACAAGACAGCTGACTAGATTAGGTAGATGGAAATACCTTGGCCTCATTGGGGAGTTATCAGGGAATTGCCGTCTTTGGATACAGGGAGATCTCTATTTCCAGGAAGGTTTGTTCGGTGACTGCCTCTTCTTTCTTTGGCTCAATGGCATTCAGCTAGATCCTTCTCAATCCCACAGGGCATGGCGATAGGAAAGCTTCTGGAAATGCATCATATGAAACTATTAGTGTTTCCTCAAGGAGTATTTGTGTGTGAGTATGAGAGCCTCATACAAAAATTTGAATAACCCTAGCAAAACATTTTTTTGTTGAGACGGTGGCTTATTCACAGTTTACTGTAGCCTCAACTCCCAGGCTCAGGCAGTCCTCTCTCCTCAGCCTCCCAAGTAGTTGGACTACAGGTTCCCATCATGATGCCTGGCTAATTTTTTAAATTTTTTCTGTAGAGATGGGGTTTCACCATGTTGCCCAGGCTGGTCTTGAACCCCAGGCTCAAGCAGTCTGCTCACCTCAGCCTCCCAATGTGCTGGGATTATAGGTGTGAGCCACTGTGCCTGGCACAAAACACTTCTGATGTGACAGAGTCCTTGAAAATGTTTGTGACTATTCTCTTTCCATCCCCAGGCTGGGAACCTCCCTGGCCCCTATCATCTTACTGCAGGGAACCTCTCTGGGGCCTGGACACCTTACTGCAGTCCTACCTTCCCACCAAAGCCTTCTCAGACTGCCATGGCTGTATCACTAGCGCACAATGTTACTGGCTTGAATTTTTAGTGTTTTGTTTTGTTTTTAATGAAAACTGCAATGTTGTAAGGTCTCGAACTGATGAACCAAACCTAGCTCACTAATGTCTTAGCTTCATGATGTTTAACAAAAGAAAAAGAAAAACATTTCAATCAATTGGTTTTACATTAAAACGCTGGATTTATGGCCTCTGCTTAAAAAAAAAAAAAATCAGAGGATCTGGCAATGAAGGACTACATTCTTCTTTTACAACCAACAGTGGGAATTCAGAAACAGTCTTCCGATGGAACAAATACCTTAGTTTGCTGAAGTCCCCACCTTTCCCTAATGTCACTTAGAAACAAAGACACTGAACCATTTATCCCAGTTTTACCATTAACTAGCTGTGTGATGCCAGGCAAGTAACTGAATCTCTCTATGCCTCAATTTTCTTATCTGGATAATGGAAACAACAATAATACCCTGCCTATATCAATCAGGTTAAGCAAGGTTCACTGTGGTTAAAAAAAAAAAAATCCAAAATTTTAGTGAATTGCCATGACAAAAGTTTATTTCTTACTTACACTCCATGTCTCATGCTGGTTGACACAGGGCAGGGTGAAGAGAGGGGTTGCTCTAGATATCACAGGCTCAGAGTTCCAGGGCAAAGGAGGTTCCATCTTGGCACACTCTTCCATTGTCAATCCAGGGACCGTGGGAGTCAGTGTTGGGAAGGAAAGTGGAGAATCACTCACAACTCTTCAGACTCCACCCAGAGGTGACACACATCAATTTCATTCATATCCCATTGGCCAAAGCAATTCACATGCTCTCACCTAACTTCATAAGGAGCAGGGAGCATTAACATGCAACTAACAGACTTGTTCTAATGCTTCCAAGCCCTTCTCTTTCATGGGACCCTGTGACTAATTTATATTTATAAATTGGTATTCCTTTCCTTCAAGAAGTTCCCCCAAATTGGATATGCTTTAAGCCCTGCAATGCCTGGATTCACTTCTGGCCAGAAACATTTGTGAAGAACCCTAATGTTTTTTCAACTACCTCATGGGCTTGCTGTGAGAATAAAGTCAATGCCAGGCACTGTGGCTCACGCCTGTAATCCCAGCACTTTGGGAGGCCGAGGTGGGCGGATCACAAGGTCAAGAGATTGAGACCATCCTGGTCAACATGGTGAAACCCTGTCTATACTAAAAATACAAAAAGTCAGCTGGGCATGGTGGTGCGTGCCTGTAATCCCAGCTACTCAGGAGGCTGAAACAGGAGAATTGCCTGAACCCAGGAGGCGGAGGTTGCGGTGAGTCCAGATTGCGCCATTGCACTCCAGCCCAGGTAACAAGAGTGAAACTCTGTTTCCAAGAAAAAAAAAAAAAAAAAAAAAGAGACAGAATAAAGTTAACATGCAGCACTTTCAAGACAGCATCAAGAACTGGATCTGTACTCTGTGGGTATTGGCTTCTATTATTATTAGGGCAATGGCAACACACAGTTCTGACTCTCATAGTGGACACAAAACACACACACACACAGGCACACACATGCTACATTTGCTCAGTAAGGAAGTCATCACTAACCAAGAGAGTTGTCCTATGTTAGGGGATCCTTGACTGTGACCTTGAGAAGTCCTGTTCCTTTTGTGGGCTTCAGTCTCCACTTCTGTCCATGGAGGTTGTGGGGGGGGGGATGTTCACAGATGACTTGTCTGCTCCGTAACACTGAGTGAGGGGCCCCTTAAGGGCTGCGGGTACAGGTAGGAATGCCAGTTGTGGCGAAGAAGCCAGGGCTGATTAATTATGCAGGCAGCCCCACCTCTGCAAACCACCCATCTGGGAGGTCAGCCTGCAGACATTGTTTCTCTTGATATTACAGGCCTGCATGTCTCCACCCTTAGTTGTACGTATAAAGCATCCCAGCAGCCCATTTCCGGTGGCCTCATCAGACCCTGGCCCCACACATTGTCACTGGCTCACAGCTGTGGGTCCTTTATCTAGCAAGCTTTTCTGCTCAGACACAAGAGATGAAAGAAAGGACCTCTCTGATGAAGCAGTTGAACCCGTTGCTTGATGTGTTCTTCCCTGAATTTTTTTTTTCATCCTCCTTTGCAAGTTCCCAATTGCAATTTCTCCAAATGCCTTTTCCTATTTGAATGTAAAAGACAGTAAAGGAAACGCACCCCCACTCCATCCTAACTCACACGCACACAAAAGCTCATTCAAGTCCCCTTTTCCTCATTTCCTGGCTGAGTGTCCTGGGCAAGTAACTTAATCTCTCTGAGTCTATATCCTCACCTGCAAAAACAGAGACACCTGCTCTGTCCCTATATGAATGTTACATTTGAATCACCTTGTGAATGTAAAGGATACCACTTCTGTTTTTGATTTCTCTGAATCAGTATGTAGTAGTTTTCTGTTGTTGTGAAATGAATTACCACAAATTTAGCAACTTAAAATGACACCCATTTAATATCCCACAATTCTATAGGTCAGAAGTACAGGTAGGCTCACCTGGACTCCACTCAGAGTCTCACAAGGCCAACATCAAGGCGTCAGCCAACTGGATTCTTATCTGGGGGCTTTGGGAAAGATTCTGCTTCCAATTTTTTATGATTGTTGACAGAATCCGGTTCCTGTGGCGTCAGGTCCAATGTCCCCATTTTGTCGCTGTCAGCTGGGAATTGGGCTTAGTCTCTGCCTCTAGGCTGCCCATATTCCTTCTCATTGGGTACCTTCCATCTTTAAAGCCACAGAAGGAACATCAAATCCTCACACTTTCATTTAAGAGGTCACCCGATTGGGTCACAATTGCCCAGATACTCTCCATATTTTAAAGTCGATTTACTTAGGGCTTTTCTTGCATCTGCAAAATTCCCTCTCAGCAGCATTTGTGTTAATGTTCAATTGAATGAACAGAAGAGGAAAATCTTGGGGGGAACAAGGGCGTTTTTAGAATTCGGCCTATCATAACACAACAATTCTTCAACTGCCTTCCACAAAGGTAAGATGGTGATGGATGTTCTGTGAAGAAAACAGTTCATAGCTGAACAATTTGGAGAAACACTGGGGGAAACAGAGTGAAACAAGTTTTGTTTGCTAGTTTTTCAGTTCAGGACACAGGAGAGTCGTTAATATGCCATCGTACCTGGTGATTCAAGAGATGCAGTAGTTCCCAAATTTATTAAGCCGTAGTATTCTTTTCTGCCAGAATATCTGTTATTCTTTAGAACCCAGTTTGGGATACAATAATCCAGATTTAAAAAGAATTTTGTATAGGCAAAGACAGGATGATAAACAGGAAATTCCTTAGATCTTTACATATCTGTTTTTAGAAATTTGTGACCTGATGGTAGGCTGCCCTCCAAGGCATAGTCCTGGATACCAGTTTCTGGAAGGAGTTAATTATCCATGGCTCTCTGAGGGGCCCTCCACTCCAAGGGCTAGGTCCATGGTGTTGCGCCACCAGCGGGAGGGCTTCAGGTACCGTAACTAAATGATGCTCACCGTCTTAAAGGCATTTTCCTGCCCCGCAATTCAGTTTGCCTTGGGATGAGTTGGAAAGGCCAGAGTGAGGTCCATAGAAGAGAAGGAGGGAGGGGGGTTTGGGCTTAGCATTCTGCTGAAATGCTAAATGAAATCTGTCTGTTCATTGCCCTTCCAGGATGAGCTTCTCTGACCAAACTCTAAAGCAGAGAGAAATGCCTCTTCTTGGAAAGCATGTTCCTAGAGTAGCCCCTTCCTCGGCTGCCTCTTCTCCGGAGACCTCCCTGGGACAAGCCTGGCAGCACTTTTACCAACTGACCCTGGAATATCTTACAGGCCAGACCTGCGGCCGCTGTGAATCTAACCCTGTGCCTTTGGGACAGAAAATCAGTGCAGGTTTTATCATCTCTCCCCTGAAATCAACTCCAAAATAATTTTTGCCTTCAATCCATTCATCTGCCACTCTATGCTTGATTTCAAATTGTGGTTTGTTTTCTCTGTAAGAATCCCCTGGCCATGTTTTGGGTAAATAGCAAGTATGATCTGGGCACTCTAATAAACTGCAGCTTCAGACAGAAGCCTGCTCTTGCTGGAGGCAAGTGATTAAACATTTTAATAGCACAGCAAACTTATCAGCAGGCTTACCAAAAAAGAGAAAAGGAAGTGGTTTTATTCTCCCAGCTTGTGTTTCCGAGTATTTTACTACTGGGGTCAAATGTCTGTCAAAGATTTTTGAGGCCCAAATTTGACTTTGAAGAACCTCAGAAGATTTCTAGAATACACACGGCATCACACTCTATAAACAGCCCAGCATTTTCCCTACGCTCGCCTAACCATCCAGTTCAATATCACCATGGTGCCTAAAAGGTTTTTAATATAGATATTAAATATATCTATATCATTACTTCAGTGAGAGCCTGAGCTGTGCTTTTTCCTCTGGGGTCTTCCAAGCTATTTGCTGCTGACATACACTATTAAAAATAAACCTACCCTGAGGAACTAGTCATTTTACATGGCATTAGGACTAATGTTATCATTTAAGTAGCTGCAGAGATTTGCCAACTACAGAGGCCCCAGATAACGAAGGAAGCATGATCGTGTGAGATAATCTTCTGCGTGGAAATGACTTTCATCATCTGTAATATGTCATTTAGATGCTTATTTAAGACTTACACTATTGAACAAATATTGATGCCTTCAACAGAATAAAAAACATCAACGCTAGAGTTAGGTAAAAGATCAGATCCACTTCTGGCGCTTAGGACTTGGCTGGGTAAAAAACAATATCCTTGGACCTGTGTAGTGAAGAGGGAAAGAAAGAAGGGGATTCACTCTCATTCTCCCACTTTCCACTTAGTAGCATGTCAGGTCCTGACATGTACAAATTTACAGCATCTACACCATAATCTTATAACAAAGGTGACATTTTTATCCTCATTTTACAGATGAGGAAACTGAAGGTCCGCATGTTTTTCCAAACTGAAGTTTGAACAAATTCACTGCTAAGATATAGCAATACTGAGATTTGAACATGGCTCTGACGGCACACACTCTGCAAGTATTGCCCTTTTCCACCATTAGCAAAAGGACCAAGATTCTGACAGCTTTTTCTGCTCTACCCACAGGGTAGAAAATTGACAATGTAATTGACCATCTATTAATTCATGGATGCAGATGATTTCATTTATTCGTCCATCAATCAGTATGTATTTATTGCACATCTATAATACACTAGGCACTGTGTCAAGCACAGTGAGAGCTTGCAGAATGGAATAAGGCATGGGCCCCAATCCCAACAACAGAGATGGATCTGCACATGCAGGCTCTCCTAGTTTGGTGGAGTTAGATGTCCTTGTTCAGTGGCTGTGCAGCTTGGTAAAGGCAGTACCCAGGTCATCTGCCTGCATAGTTTTGCAGCCCTTTTTGATAGACCAGCTAGGGGTGAGGACTTCCTTACCCCATATCAGACACAGAGCATCACAAATGAGATGCTCTTCAATCTTATCAGACTTCGCACTGCCCCCAAATGTAGGCATCTTTACTCCACATGCATCACTAGCTTCTGCTTAGTGGCCTATTGTTTACTGCTACACAGCACTATGACATCCATACATTATTAGCCCACTTCATGGATGAAGAAACTGAGGCTCAGAGAGGTGAAGTGATTTATCCATGGTTAGGTAGATGGAGTGATACGGTGGAGTGAGAACCCTGGGCCTGATGTTTGACTCTCTTCACCTGCCCACGTACCTATTACGAAGGAAAACGTCATCTGAGAGCTTACATTTTGCCAGGCCCTTTGAGGCAGCTGCTGTTATCATGCCCATTTTAGGGTGAAGAACACAAGACACAGAGAGGTGTGTCCCTTGCCTAAGTGCACACCACCAGAAAAAGTCAGAAGCAGAACTTTAGACTGAGCCTCTGACTCCAAACAAGAAGCTTCCAGGCCATCTTTATGGGATAGTTCTCTTTTAAAAAAGGCAACTCGAGCTTGGTAATGATGCACCGGGTCTTCTCCAGTCCTGATGCTGCCATTGTGGGGACCAAACCCTCATTAAAGGAAAAACACCGAAGAGGCCCCTCTCTTCTCCATCTTTCCCCCA